AGTCTATTCTCAATTTTCCAGAAAAAAATATAAATACATTTTTTTTTGTAAAAAAGCTTATTATAAAATGAAAAAACTTATAAATGATAGTAATGTTTTAGTAAAAAATATCTAACTTAAAATTCATAGCGCTGGCAATGTTATCTGATTGAAGAGAGATTAAGTGCGTAACGGTTTCTATGTTGATTGTCGCATGCCTAATCCGTGTTAATGTAAATATACTTAAAACTACATTTATCGAATGAGTGGTAGAATAAAAAATGTGATTATTCAAAAGTGCTCATGTTAAGTTTATCTGTATAAAGATTATTATTATTTCTATAATTTAAAATTTAAAATTCCAAAAAAAAAAAAATTAAAATTCCATCCCACATGAAATTTTAACGGAAAATTATAGAAATGGTTTGATTTTACTTTCCAGTTATATAAAAAAATCTTATATTACATGATTATTATATTATGGGGACAATAACGGGCCTCTGCCCTTAAACAGACACCTGTATACAACAGGTGCTACAGACAGTCCCCTTTCTCGGGGATTTGAAGCCGAAGAAACGGCTCACCTAATCCTGGAGTGCTTGCAGTTGTCACACAACGAACACAAATCCTCAGAACGGTGAGGTCGCCCCGTGAATCCTGTGAAGACATCAGAAGCCTTCTGTGTTTCTGGGAGGAGCTTGGTTACTTTAGTAGTCTCGGCTCTAAACGTACAATGGCTCAGATGAGCTGATTGCGGAAATGAGTATAACTTCAATGTACATTTACCTATATTGTACGAGCTAGCATCGTACATTATTTCGCAACATTAACATTTTATTTTACATTTCACATTTCATTAAAATCAGTTCGCATTCGGTCATCAAGGACGCCGCGCGTACTCATTACAATCATTAATCAGTTATATTTTAAGTTTCAATATACAGTTTTAATCAAGTTTCTATCAGTATCATTTATCAGTTTTACCTATCAGAATCTTTATAGTTTCGGTACAACCCGAACATATATCATGGGGAATAGAAGTACGATTTTGATAAGAAGGGACACTATCTCCAAGTCTACAATAACATGGAGAAATATTACGTTATTGTTCGTGTTATGCGAGGAAAGCAAGGAAGCGTCGGTGCGTTCATTAAAGTTACCAAAGAAAGTTATGTCATGTTTACGTATAGTTAAATCAATTAATTGACGCTTCACGATATGGATGGTAATGGTATGTGGTAATGGTACGATCGGGGGAAAGGGAATTGAATTTTTTTATTAGATATTTGGGCTATGGTCAGGCACTAAGACCTGTAACACTGCGACCTGCATAGATCTATTGTGCTCGCCCTTTTCCAAAGTGAGAGAACCTAGACTCATAAGGCACAAGAATTGAAGGATATCCTTAGGAGCGATCTTGTTAGTAATGCGGACTGTTGACATCATTGCTACTAATGTCATATCATGTTGACCTCCACGAGGTTCCCTCTGGAAATCGTCACGTTAATTTCCTGATGAATTCGTTTCTATATGCTAACTAACCTGTCATCATGCTCATCGGGTTCGATTCCTCGCACGGTATAAACATTTGTATTCATGAGTATGACTGTTTGTATCGATCTGGGTGTTTTCTATATATATTAAGTATCATTACATAGTATAAAACAAAGTCGCTATTGCTGTTTGTCCCTATGTATGCTTAAATCTTTAAAACTAAACAACGGATTTTGAAGCGGTTTTTTAAATAGATGCAACGGATTTTGAAGCGGTTTTTTAAGAGGGAGGTTTATATATATAGTCTTAGATCCGTGCAAACTAATATATCAACGGATTTTGAAGCGGGAAGCACAGATAAAAAATTGATGTGATTTGCTGCTAACTTCTCGTCGGTAGCTGTATATGCTGGCGGGGAACCAGGAAGATGACAGGATAGCATGAATCAGGTCAGTTAGCTCATTATGACGAATTTATCGCGATAGTTTTTCGGAGTGTATGAAGGTCGACCTGCTATGGTATATTATTAAGAATGAGGCACTAATTCCTATTACAAATTGTTAGACCTAAAATGAGAGTCACTGGCAGTTTTTATATATTCTTTCATCCATATTCAAAATATGATGTTCTTTATATAATTTCTTTTTTATAATAATTCTGTGACTGTGCTCTGCAACAAAAGACGTCTGTTCAAACATCTAACTATTTTCATTAATTTTTACTCTAATTAGGACTATTTTAGGTAATAATTTGGCTTGATTGATGACGTTATTCTAATTCAAATTCAAATTCAGATTCAAAAATCATTTATTCATGTAGGACATTTTAGTCGCTCATGTACGTCAAATTTTTACATTATAATTTTATTTTTTCCCTACCGTCCTCCGTAGTGTATATCCGTTTCTCCGAAGTGTACATTTTATGGGTTGATCTGTAGAAACTCTACCAACTTCATGCATGATAATAACAATACGCCCTCCAGTCCTAAACTAAGCAGAGATTCTGTTATGGATACTTCTTCTTCTTCCTTAATAAAACACTTCCTTTGCAAAAAAGCTTACTATAAAATTGAAGAATTCGTTAACGATAATAATGTTTTTGTAGAAAAATTTTAAATACATAGCACTGACAATATTATCTGATTACACTAATAATGAGTGCGTAGCGATTTCTATGTTGATTGTCGCATGCCTCTTACTTGTTACACTGTAATTATTTATATAAAAAAAAAATCTATTAAAAAGAGCAACACACAAGTTTCTTGCTCATTCTTCTTGTGATGAATCTGCATTCCGAATGAGTGGTAGAATCAAAATATGACTATTCAAACGTGCTTGTAATGAGTTTATTTGAATAAAGATTATTTCTATTTCTATTTCTTCTTCTTCGTTTCAACGGCAACCAAATACATATATTTAAATATATTTTCCCCAGAACGCCCCGACAACGCTTGCGCACTCCGTCGCATCCCTTAGGTCCCCCCTTGTGCAGACTACTGGGCACAAAGGACAAGTCAGCAGGTGTGCCATAGTCTGGGATGGCGCTCCGCAGTCACAAGCCTCCCTTGAAGCGGCACCCCACTTTACCAAGTTGTACCTGCAGCGGCCCATCTTATGGATACTGGAAAACTGATTTAATACTTAGATTTTTTTTATAAATACATACACAATATACTTTTTTCGGAATACTCTAATGCCGCAGCTGGCCTTTACAGCTTCATCGGACGACAGGGGGCGAGTGCAGATGACACTCCAAACCAAGGAAGGACTTCTGGAGCGGCTGAAGGCCAACTCCCGCCTGACGGATTCGACTTTAGTCTGAGGGCACAGCTAGGAGTTCGAACCTCGGCTCAGACTTTGCTCAATAAATATGATTTAACATGATTTTTTAAATTTATTTAAGGGTATATGGTGAATGTAGTCCATATTGCCAATTAATAAATAATATATAAATAATAATAGTTTTATGTTTTTGTTTTTTAAAAATTCAATTTATTAATTGACAAACGATTACTTGAGTGACGAAAGTGTATGGCAATATTAGTTCTTGCAGGGGATTTTCACTTAATGTTAAACATAGACACCTACATAAGTACACAGTGTTTATTTTTTTTTTTTTTTTTTTTTTTTTTTTTTTAGGTTGCACTAGCCGTGGTCACGAACTGACCACGGCTAGTGCAACCTAGTCGAAACGTCGAGAGAGGTAAATACCTTTATTTGCCATAAAATTATTCGTGTTAAGACCCGGTTAATAATTTAAATAAAGTACACAGTGTGTTTACATATCTATGTATTTTATTAACCCGTTAATTTAAACGGACTTTAAAAAAAATATTTTAATTTCTTGTCAGTTCTTCTCAATTGATCCTGTATACTGAACTGTATGGTGAAAAAAATTTTAATACAAAAAATTGACGGTTACACGCGGCTATAATGTCGTACATGAATTTTTGATTTCATTTGACAACAAATTGTGTTTGTTTCTTTTCTTTTGTTTCTTTACATATAGAGCGACTATAATTGTTATTTTGTTATATCCGTCGTGCTGTTCAATATTTGTAGACGACGATTAAAACATTCCATCGTGTAGGTCGGTTACATAAAAAATTATGCCTCCTTCTACCTGCATTTACACTTTCGCATCTTTAAAACAGTCCATCATCTTACCTAATATTTGTAAATATATATAATATACATGTAATTTTTGAGTACGAACATCATATGTATTAGATAAATATATCACCCTCGGTGGTCTAGTGATAAAGCATACTACTATACGATGGCGACTATCGGATAGTAAAGCAGTATGGTTCAAAATTAAAACAAATTCAAAAATTAAAAATATCTTTATTCATGTAGGTCTATTACAGACTCTTATGATATGTCAAATCTACCGTCAGTTCGGAATGATTTCGAGATGAGAAGAACTCGAAATAATTCCGTACTGATGGTAGATTTGACATATCTTAAGTCTGTAATAGACCTACATGAATAAAGGTATTTTGATTTTAAAGGAAATCTGCTTTATTTGATAACTGACCTGATTTCCTTCACTGCCCTAAGCCAGCGTGGCAACATCATCGCCATAAGCCTACGATTTACATTCAATTCCTCGCAAAGTACACATATTTGTATTCATGAGTATGATTGTTTGTATTGATCTCTATGTTAACTATGTATAATATGTATGTATTTACGAAAAAAATGTATCTATATAATTGTATCACTTGTCTAGTACCCATAACGCAAGCTCTGCTTAGCTTAGAACTAGATGGCATTGCGTGAATTGTCCTTAGATATTATTATGGTAAATATGATAATTTTTATGTATGTACTCATACAAAAATACAACGAAGGTCGCCAAATTGAAGGGCGTAAATTCTAAGATCTTCAAAGCGATTGAGAAACGAAAACAATTGAGATAAATCTCGAAATTGCACCCAACAAGGCTACCTGCCTGCGACCGCACCCTGCGTACGCGCATGTGGCTCCTGCACTACTCAGAGGCGCTGTATAATCCGAGTCAGTCGAAGTCAGTTCATTCGCGACACTCGACCGTATCGCTCGACTCGCGCTCTCGATTAATCGATAGTGTATCGTAGCATCGCGATTATTATTCACAAAGTAAATAAATAGTGTTGTGATTTCTGGATAGATTTTGCTTGTGGTGTGTTCCGTTGGAGCGGGCAGTTCTTTTATATTTTAAGGTTTGTTTTAATGGTTTTTTTTTGTGTTGTTTTAAACGTTTGGTTGAGTATTTCTAGTCATATATGGTAAGATTTGTTTTATGTGTGTCAGATATATTTTGATTTGGTTTTATTGGGATTTTCTACACCAATAATTATTTTGTATATGTTAGATTTTAAATTAATATTTTCCACACTTTTAGATTTTAAATTTACGCTTTTTTTCTTTTCTTAAATTAATTTATTTTATTAAATGTTTACCTATATGTACTTAGTATATTATATAGGTAGGTATAAAATATCTTTTTAAAAAAGTATAGCAATTTTGAATATAGTAAAAATCGTCATATATTCATACAAATTGTTTATATTTTATTTGAATTAAATGTTATTTTTTAGATTAGCAAAATACTATTGTATTCATGAGTATGATTGTTTGTATCGGTCTGGGTGTTTTCTATGTATAATATGTATGTATTTACAAAAATAAAATCTATGTATATGTATCAGTTATCTAGTACCCAGAACACAAGCTTTAGCTAGCTTAACTTGGGTCTAGATGGCACTGTGTGTATTGTGAAATTATTGTGTTATTTTCTTTCATACGCAATTCCACATTCATAATTTTTATAGACTATTAATATATATATAGCGTATAATATAAAAGTCAATTATCATACAATAAAAATAGTTAACGTTTTTTTTATTAAATATTTTATCTTGGTTCCGGTTCAAGTATAAAAATAATTCCTTAGTACAGATAACATATTATCTGTTTTTTTATACAGATAAATAATAATTCTGTGTGTGACGTAGACAATGAATATACAGATAGTAATCCTATATTTTATTATCATAAGATAATTTGGATATATTTCAAAAGTTTTTAGTACAATATTATATATATGTATATATGTTTTCTATTTAATTTTATCAATATATAAGATTAGATACTGATCTGTTATTCAAATGAATTTAAAATTTATTGCTTCATTATTATATCTATATTTATTTTAGACTAGCTCTACCCGTGGTTTTTCCTACATGAAATTTATAGTGTCTGTTATTCTGATGTATAAGCTATATGATTGTAAAGTGTCATCAAAATCCGTTCAGTAGTTTTTGCGTGAAAGAGTAACAAACATGCATCATTATACACGAACTTTCGGATTCATAATATTAATTAGATTAGTAATATCCTACGGCGTTGTTCAGGTTAATGCAAATAAAACGTGTCCTATATGTTAGTCTAGGATACAGTCTATCTGTGCACGAAAGTTTATTTGGCTTTGTCTAGGCGTTTAAGAGTGATTGAGTAACAATAGATATAGACAAATTTACATATTGATTAAAATCTGGGCCCGCGGTTTCACCAGTGTCAAATTTGTAGCCCGTGTTGTTCTGATGTATAAACTATATTACTGTAAAGTTTCATCGAAATCGGTTCAGTATTTTTTGCGAGTAAAATTTATCCATCTATACTCACAAACAATCGCGTTATAATATTAGTAAGATAGATATTAGTGGGTTTAATGATTTGAGATGTGTCAAATAATCTATACATCGATACATATCAATAAAATTGGAGTGTCTGTTTGTAATATTGAAATAAGATTTTTTCTGCACTACAACCATATAAGGTCAAAGCATTTGATGAATATAAATAAATAAAATTGGAGTGTCGTTTGTAATATTGAAATACATACACATGCAAAATATAACATTTTTTTTTTACAATTTTTGTCTGTCTATCTGTTGTCGGTCTATGTTCCGGCTAATCTCTGAAATGGCTGGATCGATTTTGACGGGACTTTTTTGGTAGGTATTTTAGAAAATATATTTTTTTTTTAGAAAGATAAATTTAAATTCCACGCTGACGATGTCGCATGTACAATTAGTATTATATAAAGTTTACCAACATTTCAATTATACGTAATTCATTATAATGATATTGTATATGTTTAACGATTTGCAATAAATATATCATTACTTAGTTAAAACAACATAATTGAAATTAACTCGTCATTTTCTTACTTTACTAACTATTCGCATCGGCTTCTTGTATATATATATATTACTGTTCCTGACTTCGTCTGCCTTTAGAGTAATAATTTAGTTTTTGTCCGAATTCGTTATACAATGTATATTTCAGTCAATTTTAATTAAACATCGTTTAGCTAATAAGAAAGACAGATATACAGACACACTTTCATATATGTAATATCATAATGAAATATACCATAATATTTATTGTAAAATATTTACTACGTAATTTAGACTAATTCAAGTAATTATTTAGATTGATTTATAATAAAAATAATAATAATAAGCCCGTGTAGGTGAGTATTACCTTCTTTTAAATGTATAAATGAAGAGAAAAAAAGAAAAAAAAGAAAAACAATAATAAAAAAAAAAATAGGACATTCATCAATACAACAGGAGAAAACTACGCAACGGATTTTGAAGCGGTTTTTTTAATAAGTAGAGTGATTCAAGAGGAAGGTTTATATGTATAATGCATGTACGAGCGAAGCCGGGGCGAATAGCTAGTAACTTAATAATCGACACAAATAGAGTTAAAACTAACCTTTCAGTTTTGGAATTAAGATGTTGGCCATGTATTACAGATGTGCGTAAAATAAATTACAGTCAACCTACGCAACTTGCTGTTAGATGTTTTTTTTTGGATTATAATGGAATGGTGCACCCGCCTGCGCTAACGGTTTACGCTGGCGGGGCACCAGTGGAGGATAATAAGATGAGCATGAGGTCAGGTCAGTTAGCCCATCGTGACAAGCTCACCGGGAATTTGTTACGATGGTTTCCAGGGGAAACCGCGTGGAGGTCGACCTGACATTGTACATTGCTAGCAAAGGGGTTATCAATCCACATTACTAACAATCCCCTTTCCCCCTGCTGTTAGATGTTTAACTGACCGTTAAAACAACGCATCGCAAATATTGACCTCAGATACTTTAATTTTTCTCAGCAATTACAAATTCTTCGGGACTTAAATTTAGGTATTTCATTTTTCAGATCTTTGACATCATATTGACAGTACTCGTTATATGATTGATTAACTTTTGTAGCAGAGAAAAAAATCTCAAAGATTGCTCTTATAAAATATATTTTTGATTTGTATAAGAAAACGGGACTGATTTAAGACTCGAATTTTCCAATATACATTATACCAAATACGCACATAAATAGTACAATTCAGATGTATATAGATTTTATTACCATGTAATAGTTTTTATTACCATCATTTACTGCAATAATGTCATTATACATTTAATTACAGTCATTGTAAATTAAAGTAGTTATATATACACTGGTAAAAGAATAAATTAAATCTCTATAATAAGTTATGGAAGTTAACGACTACCTCGGTGGTCTAGTGGTCTAGCACACTGCTTTACGTCCGATGGTCGCGGGTTCGATTCCTCGCACGGCGCAAACATTTGTATTCATGAGTATGATTGTTTGTATCGGGATATATATACAAAAGAATATATATCTATATATATGTATAAGTTATCTAGTACCCATACCATAAGCTTTAGCTACCTTAACTTGGGTCTAGATGGCGCTGTGTGAATTGTCCTGAGATTATTATTATTATTATTATTATGAGTGTGTTTAATAAGTGTACAAAATATAGTTTTCACGTGAAAAAGTAACAAAAATCCATCCATACTCATAAACTTTCGCATTTATAATACTATTTTATATTATATCTAAATATATATAACTCAAAGGTGACTGACTGACATAGTGATCTATCAACGCACAGCCCAAACAACTGGACGGATCGAGCTGAAATTTGGCATGCAGGTAGATGTTACGACGTAAGCATCCGCCAAGAAAGGATTTTGATTAATTCTACCCCCAAGGGGATAAAATTGGGGATGAAAGTTTGTATGAAACTTTGTCAATTTTAAACCGATCGGGCTGAGACTTTGCATGCATAAAGCTACTATGACGTAGGCATCCCCTAAGAAAGGATTTTGATAAATTCCACCTCTAAGCGGATAAATTAACGCGAGCGAAGCCGCGGGCAAAAGCTAGTTTAGGATATAACTGCATAGTAGGTAAATTACTATTCAGCGACTACAGAATGGAGTAAATGCTATTGATATTTTCACAAAAGCACACTGAAGTGTATCGAAATCTAAGAAGTATTTCGAGATTGGTATTCGAAAAGGAAGTATTAAGATGGTAGAGCATGTAAATGGATGGTTGTGGCCGCTCGGCGCCTCTATTTATAAGTTTTGACAGCCACTGAACTTGTCTCGAAAACTTGCCTGAAACTACAGAGCGGAGCGAAAATGGAACTGTTACCTCACTGCGCAAGTTGAGAGGCGTTATGTGTTTTGTATGTTTATAGCAGCGTTTTGTATTTATGTTTGACAAAAGAGAGATCTAGCTTACTTTAATTATGATATTTTAATTGTTAGTTAAAATTGTTTGTCATACTAAGTCATGTTTTAGTTCATGATAAAAGGTAGAGTGGAAATGAACCTGTTACTTGACTGCACATGTTGAGAAGGGTTATGTGTTTTTGTATGCATGTGTAGTTTTGTATTTTATGTTTGACAGAAGAGAGAAACAACTTTTAGTTTTTAATATGAGACTAACCTGAGCTGGAGAGTAGAGCAAAAATGAAATTGTTACCTGACTGCACAAGTTGAGAAGGGTGTGGTTTAGTAATGTGTTTTGTATGATTATCTAGGATCTTATTCTTATTTTATGAGGATCTAGCTTAATTTATGATAGCTTTACTATGAGACTAATTACTAACATGAGCTAGAGTGCAAAAATGAAACTGTTACCTGACTGCTCGTGTTGAAAAGGGTAATGTGTTTTTAGGGATCCATCTTTTTATTATGATAATTTCAATGTAATATAACACGATAGTTCTCGTTAGTATAAAAAATCTTTATTAGTCTTCTTTCTTTTCAAAGGCAACTAAATGCACTTACTCTAGAATGTTGCGATGACTTTAGCGCATTCGGTCGCAT